AAGGTAGTCTTCTCTGGTGTTCATCATGCTACCCTTTAGCTAGATACAGAGAAGACTACCTTCTTAACATGTAAGGACTGTAGCCTCAACATGCTACCCTTTAGCTAGATACAGAGAAGACTACCTTCTTAACATGTAAGGACCTACAGTCCTCACATGTTAAGAAGGTAGTCTTCTCTGTATCTACTAAAGGGTAATATGATGAACATACAGTCCTCACATGTTAAGAAGGTAGTACAGAGTACAATGACTTGTTTACTAACATACCAACCTTTGATAGATACTATCATTAATGGTAAAGCCTAGATTTGGGGCTGTAGCCTATAAGTAGAATATTATTGAAGATAACTTAACCCCACTTGAATCCTGGGTCTCAGAGTAGCTGTTGTCACAATATAATATTTTTTTTGTCTTACATTAGATATTGTGAGGTTTATTGCTTCTACCAACCCGAATCTAAAAATCTAATGGAAGTTTCTTATCACATCCAGTTTCCAAGAGAAGTAAAACATTTGGTTGGTCTGTTACATTTATATTTAAAGAAAATTACAAAGTAGTCTTGTGACAAACAACTTTTTGGTTATACTAAAAGCCAAGTACAAATAAAGCAATTTGCTTGTACAGTGAGGTATATACAAACTGTGGGAGCGAGTTCAGTAAATATAATGATTAAAAAAGAGGCCATCTTTTTTCCAAACACTGTATATTCATACAACACTGATTGACAAATGTATATGGTATTTTATCAATTTTTTATTGGCTATGATGTCAGTGTTAATTAAGTATACTAAATAAGCAATTTATCTTATAAACCCCTGCACTTATGGACGTGTATATCTTAAGAACTATATGTGACATAAAAATATCAAACATGTCTACAGTCTTCTTACATAAGATAAATTTTAGTTAATTAGTTTAATTAGACTTCAGTAATTGTCAAAAGTATTAACTATGTCAGTGATTACTTTCCAGTTACCAGGACCTCAAGTATTTGAAACTGTTTTTGTAAAGTTTTTTACAAACTTTCTAGGTGCATTATTTTTACAGTAATGAACCCTGTTATTGATAATATTGTAAGTAAATCAGAGTAAATAGTTTAAACTACAGTTAGAGGATGGTTTTAGTAAACTTGACTGGTTCATAACTATAAATTTACCAGAAAGCAATGATAGTGTTTGACATCTACTAATGGAAATCTTGTTTTTTTCTTGTACAGATACAGTGGGGAGCCTGTGGGTTGGTACTTACTGGAAATGTTGTGGTATTTTTGACAATCTTGGGCTTCTTTTTGGCTTTTGATAATGACGAAGTCGACTACAGCATGTGGTGATTTATTTATTGCTTAGAGAGCGAACAGATTTGTAGACTGGTTGACATCAACCTCGTATTAGTTGTCCAGGTTCTTGAACATTTTGTAGATTGGGATACAACAAGTGAGATGAATACATGGCTATGTTTATACTTCTGTACTTTCTGTGTAAAACATGTCACGTAGATGTCAAGAGGAAGTTCCATTTACATTCATGTTTAAATGTTATAAATGACTTTTGTTTCAAATAACAGCTACTCTCAAGAATTCAAGTCTTCACAAAGTTTTGTTGATGTTTCAGAGCTCCTTTACAGATGAGAAATATAAACAAATATGGGAGTTATTTCTTCAGTGTTTTAGCTAGCAGAGGATAAGAATACCTTTAAAGTTTTTGTTTTCATATATGAATTACATTTGATTTTTCTACTTCTTAATGAAACAAAAAGTTTATGAATCAAGTTGTGGTTTTGTGAAAGGAACAAAAAATGCAACTGACCTGTGCAAAACAGTTGTTTGAAAGCGAGTGGATATATAGGTGTGTTTGAAAGCGAGTGGATATACAGGTGTGTATGAAAGTGAGTGGATATATTGGTGTGTTTGAAAGGGAGTGGATATACAGGTGTGTTTGAAAGCACCTGTATATCCACTCGCTTTCAAACACACCTGTATATCCACTCGCTTTCAAACACACCAGTATATCCACTCCCCGTATATCCACTCGCTTTCATACACACCTGTATATCCACTCACTTTCATACACACCTGTATATCCACTCGCTTTCATACACACCTGTATATCCACTCGCTTTCATACACACCTGTATATCCACTCGCTTTCAAACACACCTGTATATCCACTCCCTTTCATACACACCTGTATATCCACTCCCTTTCAAACACACCTGTATATCCACTCCCTTTCATACACACATGTATATCCACTCCCTTTCAAACACACCTGTATATCCATTCCCTTTCATACACACATGTATATCCACTCACTTTCAAACACACCTGTATATCCACTCACTTTCATACACACCTATATATCCACTCACTTTCAAACACACCTGTATATCCACTCGCTTTCATACACACCTATATATCCACTCGCTTTCAAACACACACACCTGTATATCCACTCACTTTCATACACAATGAAAGTGAGTGGATATACAGGTGTGTTTGAAAGCGAGTGGATATACAGGTGTGTATGAAAGCGAGTGGATATACAGGTGTGTATGAAAGTGAGTGGATATACAGGTCTGGTATGTTTCACAGGGGAAAAATTTAATACTATATATCAGCATAAGGAACAATACAAGCTAGACGTTAGTTGTCCTGTACAGATAGTACCAGTAAGTCCTAAGAAGACATGATTTATTCAGCTAGTAACCGTTTCACACTCTTCAATATAAATGTAGTTTCTTCAAAATATGTCATGTGTTTATATTAATTCATTTAGAACTACTAATGTAATGAATTTAAGGTTTTATTTTGTTTAGATGTCGTATTTATACACTAAGCCTGGCACTGTTCAAATATTAGGGGTGGTGGGGATGTACAAGTGGAACTAAAGCTACTGGTATACATCCCTCCCCCCCTCCCAAAAGAAATGTACTGAGATAAAGACTTAGCAGAAGAATGAAATGGATACTTGTTTAATGATGGTGTGTTTTTATTCACGAGAATCTAATGTTAATTAAAGTAAATTGATAGAACAAAACCTAGTGAAGTTTTGGTGGTGGTAAAATTTCATTAATTACTGCTGAGAACATTTGAGATGTAGGTAGCTTGGTGGTGTAGAAAGACCTGAACTTGTAAATAACGACCCCTGAATGTGTTCTTTAATCATTCTAAAGAATGTCATTATGTACAAGTTTGTGATGTAAATATATTTTTTTTAAGTACCATTTTTTTGTTAAATCAATAAAATATTAACAGAGTGAGTAGGGGTTTATTGATTTTATTATTTCACCACAGTTCAAGTTAGTGGAGAAGGTATTACAAGATAGCTAATTAGTAGTAATTGAAATTTTACACTTCAATTGGTCGAATATAATTTGTCTACAAGAAAATCAATGATTTATATAAGTGTTCACAATTATTAACAAAATTCAGTATGTAAAATAGTAAAAATTTTCACACGTACTTCTACGATTTTGGGGCAAATTGGCTTATGATATATCACACAAGTGGCTATTTCATAAAGTTCACATTTTGCACCCAGATGTTTCCTCAGTTAAACTGTGTTCAAGTTACACTTTGACTTGTTATAATGTATAGCAGGAGATGTTGTGGAGTGGTCAAATGTCTCAGATTTCTCCGCCAGTCAACAATAAAATACCTCCCCTCCCCACACAGTGTAATATCACTCGAACATCTTTACTTATGGAACGTGGCATACATTGTAAAATAGACGTTTAAAATGTGTTATTTTATGCCCCATCTTTCGCTTTGAAAGCTCCGAAATGTCTGGATAACCACTTCCTCCACCTTACAGCAACAAAGTATACAAGTTCAACCATTTACATATTGTTCGTGCTTTTCTTAATGTATATGTTTGATTTTGCTTGGAAGTTTACTGCTATAATGTCACAATTTTGAGTTTTCCGTCGAAATAAGCACTATCCGATATTTTTCTATGACTTTTGCGTCAAAAAAAAAATAATAATAATTTCACCGAAAATCCAAAGGCCCATGTTTTCGCCCAAATTTTGAAAACATTTTTCTTCCTCATATTTCAGTACAAAGATGCCCTTGATGTAAGACTTTGAAAATGGATATCCCTTCATCAAAATTC